TTCTGAACTGAATACGAAAAAGGAATAGACGATTGTGGTATATAGTTCGGAAGTATACCGTCATTTCATTGCTAACTTCTTCGAAAGAACATGTTAGTTACACCAGCTTCCACTTTATGACCATATTGAGTAAACGCGAGTAATGTGTTTTACTGGAATTCTGATGACTGGGTGAATTTCGAAAGAATCACAAAGTAGTAACTAATTTCTCTCACACTTTATTCCGGTTAATTTGTTGTTATTTAAATTGTCTCTTATGAGGCGAAATTTATCCATAGTTATCGGAAATAATTTAATGTGTAGTGGAATAGGATGTGTCTCCTATAGTTATCTTACTGATATTTTATTACTGAGAGGATTATAATGGCAAAACCATGCTCCTCTCAGTTAACCCAATACATTCCATAAGACTATATTATTATCTTCACTTTCCATTTTTCTTATTGATAATCAGGTAAAAAATATCGGTGTGACGTGTGTGGGAAAGAATTCACTGATGCTAGCAATTTGAAGAAACACATGGAGTCAATCCATGGAGGTGGGTTTGTTGTTTTGTGTGTTTATTTTGTGCGAGAGTTTCATGTTGACTTGATGAATTTCACGTTTCACTACTGTATCACATACATAAGCGATGTGGTTCTGCCTTTTGCATTCTAAGGGATTGGTGCAGGTGTAGCGTGTATATGCTCTGTTTACGATTCGGTAATTTCATTCTGCATAAACCTTTATTTTGATAAAGTAGCCTCACATTGTTATACAGTAATATTTACTAATGACAACGTTTCGAGCACAATTTATTGCCGCCGATAATCAAATGAACGCAGTACTCACACAAATTTCTTGCTTCGTTTACATACTTGAGTACACAGAGACTAGACATTTGAATAAAATCGGTATAAGACTTGCGAGAAACAGCATGGAAGGTAAATTACTTTCAGAACCACTATCAGTGTGATCAATAAAATAGATTATAAGAATCAAGACGGGTGTTGTTAGTCAATCCACTATGGAAGATGAAGTACATTCGAATTTGTAACTTACATTCTGGGTATTCCACCGAAGCTTAGGAGATGCTGAAGGAGTGAGTAAATGTCCTCCTTCTGTGAGTATGACTATGACCTCTGCTTTTGATGTTGTTGTGCAGGTCCTAGTGTTGTGAGTGCAAATCGATGCTCGCTGAGACTTCACCTTTGCACGTTCGAGACAAGTTCGAGGCGACACTAGTTGGGGCCCTAATGGAATAAACCACTTCGAATTTCATCATCCAGATTGTAAACAGTCGACAGGAGCCATAAACGAAATAAGTCGGATCCACTTCATCCTGCTTTATTACCAATATGTTTACACAATTACTTCTGAGCTAACCATTGAGATTAAGATAGTCGCACCGATCCACACTCACAAGGTCAACCAACATGTGACTAGTGGATCCATGCTTTCGAATATTGACCAATCATATGCAAAATCAATAGAATTAGACTAAGTCTTAGTCTGAGGCTAAGGATTAGGCCTAGGCTTAAGCAAGCAGCATTCACTTCAGCGTTTAGCAAGCAGTAGAACAGCACAACATGAATTTACAATATATATATTCAGTACAAAGCACATAGGTGTATGTGCACATTACTTTTTTGAGTGCATTGAAATTAAGAAAGAAATATAATAACTTGTAGAGGCAGCAAGTGATTCTCCCGTCATCAAGGTAGGTTATCGGGAAACACAACAACGAAAAATCATTGCAAATTATTTAATACAAGCGTGAATGACAGACAGCAACAGAAAGTGAGAGAGGGAGAGAAGGAGAGAAAACAATGGCTTTGACAATTGACAAATCTTCATGAGTGAAGTTGGAAAGTGATTCGGAAAATGTGTCAACAATAACAGTGATAACAACAACAGCAACAATAACAACTACTCTCAAGCGCCATCACTCAAGCGTATACATGCAATTGGTTGTTGCGTAATTCTAGCGTAGTAATGATACTCTTTGTGAACCAGTGGAGTGATAGATTGAATGATTGGTGTTGCTATTACTATTATTACTATAACTAATATAACGTTGATTAACTGAGACAATGAAGTATTCAAAATGAAATGTTGTCAGTAGATTCATTCAGCTCGTTATCGCACGGTTTGATGACATACGGTGCAAGAATTTCTTCACTTCAACACTTACAGATGTTCGTGAAAGCCTTGCAGTTGTTGGGACACTGTCCCATGACCACTAGTGAAGAAGAAGAAGAAGAGACGGATGCAGTAGCAGTTGGAATGGAATCAGCATCAGTAGTATCAGGGTTGGAGGTGGTAGTCATCACGCGTAGGACATTCGTGTTCTCAGCTGTTAACGTAGAAGTAGCAGTATTAGTAATATCAGTAATCACGGAGTTATCTGAGAGAGTAGTAGATTCAACTGGTTGATTTGTTGTCTGTGAAGAAGTCGGAAATCGAGACAAACGTCTTGGCTGTTCTCCACCTCTTAAAAGAATATTTCTATGATTACTTAGATCATACTTTCGTATAAGTGATTTTTTACATTCTTCACAGACATATGGCCTTTCACCAGTATGCCGACAAATATGTCCAATCAATGATCTAAAGCTTCCAAATATCTTACTACATGCTTTCCATGGACAGAAAGGTGGATATGCAATATGTGGTTTACCATTCATATGCGTAATAGGAGGTATTGGAGGTGGAGGTGGAGGATTCGGTTTCGGTGGACTCGCGTGGGGGAGAAGACGGCATTTAATACATCTACATGTATTGATTTGCATATCGACTTGACTAGGTGGCTTCGTCAGAGTATTTGATGAAGGAATGGTTGTTATTGTCGTGGTGGTGGCAGTTGTTAGACCTAAGTTTCGTGGACTGACAACTGTTCGCTCACCACCCACACCAGAATTCTCTCCATTCATAACATGCTCCACATATTCGGCATATTGTTCAAGTCGTTTAGAACCTTTACGATCATGGAGATGAGTTAACTCATGGAGTTTCGCCATATAGAATTGAACAAATCTTGCTCCACAATCAGGCTTTCGGCAAACATACCGTCTTTCCCCAGTATCCGAATGAACAGGTTCTTTCTTTCTATACACCTGTAAGTAGACTTCACCACAGCCAGTATATGCAAACTGATGTCTGTCCAGCTCATTCACAGATTTCGTATTGAATAAAGCTCTAGGATCGGGAATGTCATTCGGTGTTTGTTGTGTGTCAGTGTTTACATTGAGAATTGAATAATCGCCACTCGATGATTCACATGATAAATTCGGTAATACTGAAGTCGTAGGAATTTTTATACCACTACCACTACCACAACTTCTACTGCTAATGACATCAGGAACAGTATTATTGATTGCATTATTCCCACTGTTATCGTCTGTGGTATTTTCAGGGACAGATGGTGTGCAGCATATAGTTCCAGGATGTTGATTGTTAATAATATCCCTCGTCGCACAATTCATTAAAGCAGCACTCTGAGCTAGAACACTCGTCAGGTCAGTAAGACTACTCACACCTGCTGGGAAGGTAATATTTATTGTTGTACTCGTGTCAGATGAACGTAACCAAAGTGTGTGGGTAAAGTGGAGTTGGAGAGAATACATGGATTTCGTAGGCTTGTTGAGGGAGTACTCTCAGCTGGTAATATCGGTCGGAATGATACACTTCGAGGTGGAGCACCACGTGGTGTACTTGTTGACAAGCTTTGTATAGCATCATTCGCTGGTAGGATATTAACAGGCTTAGAAGATGACTGTGTGGTCAGGAATCTGACAGGAATTTCATTCAACGTAGATTTGACAACATTATTGACTAGAAGTGATGTGGAATTTGTAGAAGATATAGAAGGAGAGGGTTGAATTGTTGTCATTTCACCTTCTTCATTGGTGCACTCCTCATAACCTTCTTCTTCGATTGTCATTGACATTTGCTTCCCTCTCTCCTCTTCTCTTCCTCTTCGACAATCTTCTTCTCCTGGATCTGTAGTCTCAACAATCACCGTTTCGTCATTATCAACAACTTGACGAAGAAGACAAGTAGTCGGTGAGTTTAGAAGACGTCCGAGCGTTGCACCTTCTGATTTTATCGATTTCGATGAATTCTGTGTAGATGACATGGGAATTTTAGACAATCTCATCGACGCTGGGATGGGCCTGGGTCTATGTAGCATGTTTCTTCTTCACGAGAAAGAGAAAGAGGAAAACAAAATGGACGAATAATTGTATTCGAAAGAGGAGGATGTGTTTGTTGTATGTGAGCGGATGGAGAGAATAAATCGTAAGGCGAAATTTCCATTCACAATAAATTACAATTGATTTTTGTCTGCAAAGTTCATTGCCTACGCGGGTCAATAGGCTAGATTCATTTCGCCTCGATACGATTGGTGAAAATTTGAATTCGTTGAACGCCCTAAAATAATTGGGGGTCAGAAAGACAAATAAGACTTGTCTGTGTCCCCTCTCATTCTACCCCATGCATATGTCAAGTTGCAACAATTCGCTGACTCAACTAGCAAATCACGGGGAGACGAACGAGAAAGGTCCGTCTATGGCAGACCTAATGTTGGTCATAGTTGAGCATTTTGACTGGTTGATTTCTATAAGGTCATTTGGTGAGCGCTTGAATGATTAGAGACAGACAATAAGCGAGCGTGGTCTCCGCTGATTGATCCACTCACCAAATCAACCAGTCAGAATGCTCCACTATGACCAACATTAGGTCTGCCATAGACCGACCTTGACCTTTCTCGTTCGTCTCCCCGTGATTTGCTAGTTGAGTCAGCGAATTGTTGCAACTTGACATATGCATGGGGTAGAATGAGAGGGGACACAGACAAGTCTTATTTGTCTTTCGGACCCCCAATTATTTAAGGGCGTTCAACGAATTCAAATTTTCACCAATCGTATCGAGGCGAAATGAATCTAGCCTATTGACCCGCGTAGGCGATGAACTTTGCAGACAAAAATCAATTGTAATTTATTGTGAATGGAAATTTCGCCTTACGATTTATTCTCTCCATCCACTCACATACAACAAACACATCCTCCTCTTTCGAATACAATTATTCGTCCATTTTGTTTTCCTGTTTCTCTTTCTCGTGAAGAAGAAACATGCTACATAGACCCAGGCCCATCCCAGCGTCGATGAGATTGTCTAAAATTCCCATGTCATCTACACAGAATTCATCGAAATCGATAAAATCAGAAGGTGCAACACTCAGACGTCTTCTGAACTCACCGACTACTTGTCTTCTTCGTCAAGTTGTTGATAATGACGAAACGGTGATTGTTGAGACTACAGATCCAGGAGAAGACGATTGTCGAAGAGGAAAAGAAGAGGAGAGAGGAAAGCAAATGTCAATGACAATCGAAGAAGAAGGTTATGAGGAGTGCACCAATGAAGAAGGTGAAATGACAACAATTCAACCCTCTCCTTCTATATCTTCTACAAATTCCACATCACTTCTAGTCAATAATGTTGTCAAATCTACGTTGAATGAAATTCCTGTCAGATTCCTGACCACACAGTCATCTTCTAAGCCTGTTAATATCCTACCAGCGAATGATGCTATACAAAGCTTGTCAACAAGTACACCACGTGGTGCTCCACCTCGAAGTGTATCATTCCGACCGATATTACCAGCTGAGAGTACTCCCTCAACAAGCCTACGAAATCCATGTATTCTCTCCAACTCCACTTTACCCACACACTTTGGTTACGTTCATCTGACACGAGTACAACAATAAATATTACCTTCCCAGCAGGTGTGAGTAGTCTTACTGACCTGACGAGTGTTCTAGCTCAGAGTGCTGCTTTAATGAATTGTGCGACGAGGGATATTATTAACAATCAACATCCTGGAACTATATGCTGCACACCATCTGCCCCTGAAAATACCACAGACGATAACAGTGGGAATAATGCAATCAATAATACTGTTCCTGATGTCATTAGCAGTAGAAGTTGTGGTAGTGGTAGTGGTATAAAAATTCCTACGACTTCAGTATTACCGAATTTATCATGTGAATCATCGAGTGGCGATTATTCAATTCTCAATGTAAACACTGACACACAACAAACACCGAATGACATTCCCGATCCTAGAGCTTTATTCAATACGAAATCTGTGAATGAGCTGGACAGACATCAGTTTGCATATACTGGCTGTGGTGAAGTCTACTTACAGGTGTATAGAAAGAAAGAACCTGTTCATTCGGATACTGGGGAAAGACGGTATGTTTGCCGAAAGCCTGATTGTGGAGCAAGATTTGTTCAATTCTATATGGCGAAACTCCATGAGTTAACTCATCTCCATGATCGTAAAGGTTCTAAACGACTTGAACAATATGCCGAATATGTGGAGCATGTTATGAATGGAGAGAATTCTGGTGTGGGTGGTGAGCGAACAGTTGTCAGTCCACGAAACTTAGGTCTAACAACTGCCACCACCACGACAATAACAACCATTCCTTCATCAAATACTCTGACGAAGCCACCTAGTCAAGTCGATATGCAAATCAGTACATGTAGATGTATTAAATGCCGTCTTCTCCCCCACGCGAGTCCACCGAAACCGAATCCTCCACCTCCACCTCCAATACCTCCTATTACGCATATGAATGGTAAACCACATATTGCATATCCACCTTTCTGTCCATGGAAAGCATGTAGTAAGATATTTGGAAGCTTTAGATCATTGATTGGACATATTTGTCGGCATACTGGTGAAAGGCCATATGTCTGTGAAGAATGTAAAAAATCACTTATACGAAAGTATGATCTAAGTAATCATAGAAATATTCTTTTAAGAGGTGGAGAACAGCCAAGACGTTTGTCTCGATTTCCGACTTCTTCACAGACAACAAATCAACCAGTTGAATCTACTACTCTCTCAGATAACTCCGTGATTACTGATATTACTAATACTGCTACTTCTACGTTAACAGCTGAGAACACGAATGTCCTACGCGTGATGACTACCACCTCCAACCCTGATACTACTGATGCTGATTCCATTCCAACTGCTACTGCATCCGTCTCTTCTTCTTCTTCTTCACTAGTGGTCATGGGACAGTGTCCCAACAACTGCAAGGCTTTCACGAACATCTGTAAGTGTTGAAGTGAAGAAATTCTTGCACCGTATGTCATCAAACCGTGCGATAACGAGCTGAATGAATCTACTGACAACATTTCATTTTGAATACTTCATTGTCTCAGTTAATCAACGTTATATTAGTTATAGTAATAATAGTAATAGCAACACCAATCATTCAATCTATCACTCCACTGGTTCACAAAGAGTATCATTACTACGCTAGAATTACGCAACAACCAATTGCATGTATACGCTTGAGTGATGGCGCTTGAGAGTAGTTGTTATTGTTGCTGTTGTTGTTATCACTGTTATTGTTGACACATTTTCCGAATCACTTTCCAACTTCACTCATGAAGATTTGTCAATTGTCAAAGCCATTGTTTTCTCTCCCTCTCTCACTTTCTGTTGCTGTCTGTCATTCACGCTTGTATTAAATAATTTGCAATGATTTTTCGTTGTTGTGTTTCCCGATAACCTACCTTGATGACGGGAGAATCACTTGCTGCCTCTACAAGTTATTATATTTCTTTCTTAATTTCAATGCACTCAAAAAAGTAATGTGCACATACACCTATGTGCTTTGTACTGAAATATATATATGTAAATTCATGTTGTGCTGTTCTACTGCTTGCTAAACGCTGAAGTGAATGCTGCTTGCTTAAGCCTAGGCCTAATCCTTAGCCTCAGACTAAGACTTAGTCTAATTCTATTGATTTTGCATATGATTGGTCAATATTCGAAAGCATGGATCCACTAGTCACATGTTGGTTGACCTTGTGAGTGTGGATCGGTGCGACTATCTTAATCTCAATGGTTAGCTCAGAAGTAATTGTGTAAACATATTGGTAATAAAGCAGGATGAAGTGGATCCGACTTATTTCGTTAATGGCTCCTGTCGACTGTTTACAATCTGGATGATGAAATTCGAAGTGGTTTATTCCATTAGGGCCCCACCTGGTGTCATTTCGAACTTTCTCAGTCAGTCAGGTATTTCGATTAGTGTAATGGTAGGACACTTCAAGGAAATTTTCCTTGAGCATTCCCCGACCCATGGTTAAGGGCTGGAGCACTGAAATTGTCAACTTCAGTGATTGTGTGGTAAGCCGAATTCTCTGTGATGGTGTTGAGTAGTAGCTGGTTGTGTTCCGCTGAATGGTGGGAGGTGGGTGGGGACGGTCGATGCAAGCGACCTAATAAATTATTGATTGGCCCATTGTGAAATGTAACCAAATGGAGTATGGATGTTGAGTAAGTGGTGGGTTGGTTGCTTGTACTCATCTGAGGAGCTTGGCAACGTATATGCCTACTCTACTTCTTGGCTTCCTGCCTTCCTTGTGGTCCGTGTCTCGCCTTATCTGAAGAAAATCGCTATTACAAAATTTCTTGTCGAAAATAGTTGAGGTCAGCCAGGTTTCTGTCAGTATAATAATGATAATAATTTTTTTGAAGTCCACGTGTGATTGTAGTTTTCAGAGACCAGTTTCATACTCTCAGCACAGTCAAACTGCTGTAAAGGCGACTGATAGATGGTCCTACTGCTACGACAGAGGACAAGATAATTGTTAACGGACTTTCTTCAAGCAAGAACACATCATATTTATGCAGTTTTAGCGACATTGGAATTTGGCCAGGTGAGCGGACAATAAATTGTCCGTAGGACGGAAGAAAGTTTTCTCATTCTGGTTTTGTCGAAATTGCTGTAGTGCACACAGGATGGCGCAGCGTCCTGCTGTAGGCTGCTGAAAAGAATCAGATGAAACGCGATTATCTCATGGTCACCACTACGAAGAGGGGTCATGATTTGAACGTTTTCTACCAGTGACTGGTAGCTGGTTTTGATATCAACCAGTTTTGGTAATTTTCCATTAGCATCCTACCTAGTGTCGTCTCCAACGGTCTCGGTCAACTAGGAATTTCTAGTGGTGTTTCTGTGGCAGATTTCAACCGAGATGGTCGTCACGTATGAAGATGCAATATATCCACAGTAAAATTCGACTAGATCAGCGAACAATAAATTGTTCTGATTAGTTGGCGATTTGTGCAGGGTTAAACAACCAGACGAGAAGTTGTCCAACGAGGTTATCTGATGTTCACATCGTAAACCAGATGCAGATTTGAGGGATTGACACTTCTACTTCTGAAGCCATTGACTTGAAATGTTGGTTTCGATTTCGGTGTCTACCTGTCGATCTTCATCTTTATACCACTTGTATGTCCTGTCAGTTATCCTCACCACTTCTCCGTCTCGACATGTTGTGTGGTGGTTGACGCGGTGTGGACTACTGGTTGAGAAGTCAGTGTTCGAAGTGGTTGGCCGATTCTGTGGAACACTGCATGAGACCATGCTCAGGCGAGAATATATGCACATGTACCAGAAACGTGGGCGTGGGTTATTCCGCATAAAAGCAAAATATGCTTCCAGCTCTCCGTGGTCACATCCACAGTAGACTCAACCTTTGCAAAAGTTGCATTCAAATGTCGAGTTTCTGTTGCAGATGACAGAACTACACACCTGGCAGTTGTCCTCCTTCATAGAAAACACCTTCGGCATCTTACGATGTCTTCAGAGTTTCTTTCTGATCTCGATACATCTGACACGTTAGCTTGTTATGGAGACTGATGCACAAGCGTGTCAACCTCTTTCGATTTGTTCACCTTCACTACTGAACTGTGCCAACGTAGGCATATCGAGAGAGCAGGGAATATGTGATTGGGTATTTAGAAGGTGGATGCGAGATGGCGCTTATTCTGATGGTCTATTTCTTACCCTAGCTGAAACCCTTGTCACGACAGAATAATGCTCTTCTTGAGCCTGAAGAAGGCTGTCACATTACCAATTATTACTGATTGTGGTTAGATAACAATAGAGGAAACAGCAACAGAATGCTTGACCAAGAGAACTGGAACAGAAGAACTGATGAAGTGTAAGAAAATGTATCCATTTGAAGCGGCTGCCGCAGCCTGGAATGATTCGATACTGGAAATGTTCGACTGCATGAGCATTAGCAACTAGATCATTTTCATTTGTGGTTTGAGAAATCTGTCCAACTTCGAAGAAGAATCGAACACTTCCGTCTCCACTCTAATATTTTTCAAATGTTTAGCTGAGTTGAATTAGCACAGACACGAATATCGCTTCTCTATGCACACAACAACATTCAGCATGACTAGCTGATTTCACAGCTCGTTACACTTAGGCGAGAACACATAACGAGTGGCGATGGTAAGTATATGTGTATGTGAGAAAATAATAATATTATATGCAGGAGACAATAAAGCAGAATGTGTGCATGGAGCCAATGACGTAGGCGTTATGAAAGACAATTCATGATTGGCTATCTGTCTATCAACGTAGGAGACCACTCATTGGTCCACCATTCATACAAGTCATTGTCCCACATATCACAAATTATATTGCTTTTTAATGTCTCATATGAAACAGTACATCTGACACAATGTGGAATTCCCACCATCCAGTGCAATATTGCATCTCA